TATATATATATATATATATATATATATATATATATATATATATATATTGTTTGAATACAAACAATTGCTTGTATATTCAATACTTTATTATTATGTTCCATATCTATAATGCCTATTTTTTTGCAATCCACTTACAATCCAACATGGAAATATATATATATATATTTTTTTTTTGCTTTATTGTCATTGATTGTTTTAAAATTCAAATGGCATTAACATGCCTGTTTTTATTTCTGTAATAAATATGGCTGTCAAGCCAGGATTTTGATGGTTTATTGTGGGTTTGTCGTTTACATGAAGAAATCTGTGTTACAAGTTAAAAAAAAAAAAAAAAAAAAAATTATAAACAATTATATTTTGAATTTAAATAGTTTTTGTCTTGCATTTACATGAATTTTACATTCAAATAGCCAAAATTACAAGTTTCAATCTTTTAAATGTGATTAATCGTGATTAATTTTAAAAAGATGAGATATATATATATATATATATATATATATATATATATATATATATATATATATATATATATATATATATATATGCACTTGCATCTGTTTTGATCCAGGAATGCAATACCTAGTTCAACCACTGGGTGTCAAACTTACAAACTGCACCTTTAGGTTCTTCTCATGCTTGATAGCGATACCGATACCTAATATGTTCATATTTTTATTAACTGTAAATTATAATTGTAATATAATCTTCAATTTGTGCACACAATAGAATAGATATATTAAATTGATATTTTATTGGCTATGGTCATTAAAAAAGCAAACATCTGTCCATATCAAACAATTCAGCGCCATAACCAGGGACAGCACTTCGCAACATCGCACGTAACACTGTATACCTTAAGTTATAGTTCAGGGTACATGCCTAGAAATGGTTTATATTTAGTAAGAAGTACTTTTAGTGTTTCAATAGCCTATACTAAGATACAGGCAGCACATCCCTGGATTGTAACATTTATTTCTGATCAAACTATATCTTTAAATAACCCATAGTGGGGCTTTTTATTTTGTACTTTTGCTGTATATGTATTACATCAGTAAGATTTCACAATGAGACACTTTTTCAGCTTAGTTTCAACAGATCTTGTTGGACTGCTTAGGACTTTTATGAGTGCTGTGAGTTTGTTTTCATAATTCATCAAAATGTTTCATTGCAAAGCATAAAGGGATGCTTCAATATTTCATAAGCATGTCCTGTACAGTACATACTCAGATGGAAGCATTATGTTTGCAGCAGGAAACATCTCAATTATCATGTTGAATTGTCATGCGCATATTTATGTTAGAAAAATGTTTTCAACAGTCTAAAGAAGTTCTCAAATCATCAAACTGAGCTTGTATCAGCCACATGCATATTCATCTGCAGAATATCATGGTTTTTCTGCTATGGAGGAACAGCCACTGTAAACCCTCAAGACCATTTAAACTTTAATGCGACTGCCAGTACATCGTCCATAGGAAATCGTAAAATGTAAGAAAAGTGTTTTGAGATGAAATGAGAGAGAGTCTGTAAAAGCTTTCATATGAAGTTATATAAAGGGAAATAAATCAAGAGCTGTAGATTGAGGTGAAACTCCTAATCAGAAGCACAGAGAACAATCAGTGGGGTTTAAAACACATATTTCTAACCAGATAATCAGATAAAATTCATTCAGTAAGATTTATCACACATTTCAATCATTATATTTCAGGATCGATTCCAACCCATGCTCAAACTGATTACGCAACCCTATATACATTTCTCAAGAGAGCAAAATATGTCCCAGGAGCTATGTTTTTGTTTGTTTGTTTGTTTGTTTGTTTTTGCAGTTTTTCTTCTCGTGAACCTTTTAAGTACTGAGTGAATCGTCTCGATACTATCGAGTATCGAAAAAATCATTTTCGTTCGGTACCAAATTTCGATACCCAAGGGTATAATCTTGTCAACGTCTGTGAGCTAGAATCATAGCAACGTTGCGCAGTCATCATAGCAACGTGCCCACCACAAGCGTCATCCTCCGTGACTGATGAGGATAACTGTGCGATGGCTGGGGCTCCGAAAGGTAAACAGACATGACAGCTCTTTCCCGCCTCCTCCGCCTCAAAATCATTTTAAAGTTAGGCAAACTTCGTGTTGTAACTTTTTTTGCTTTTTGTCTTGAAGCAAAAAGAATCAAAACACGGCAAGACAAACAGGGACACACTTTGTAATGTTCACAGGGCAAAACAAGATCCACAATCTGTGTGTGAGGACTGAATATAAAGTCCAGCTAGTTCATGATGAGTTGCCAGCTCTGTGAGTGTACTTAGTGGGAAACAGGAAGCGGTGTGTGCGAGGTGCATCCTGGGAGTTGTAGTTTATTACTGTGACGTGTGTAGTTCTTCAGAAATCTACAACTGCCAGGTCGCTGGCAATCACAACACTAAATAAATAAGGAAGGAAGGAAGGAAGGAAGGAAGGAAGAAATAAAGGAAGGAAGGAAGTACGTTTAAAACAGAGTTTACCAATTGTTTTTTTTTATGTTAAATTGTTATTTGTACTTGTACTAGAGCTTTGTAGCATCATGAAACAATGTCATGGAAAGAAAACGAACAATTATAAAAATGTGTAAACCGAATGTCTATGGTAGTAATATGTTTTCTAGGTTGAGGAGCTGGTGTTTGTGCATTACTGTGTATCTTTTTTAAATGGTTTCCCCAGTTTGTGGGGTGTAAATGGTGTCTGCTTTGACAAAGCTGTGTGTGTGTATGTGTGGTCTGACTGAGAAGAGTTTTGGATGAGTGACTGACTGTTGTGCTCTTAGCAGGAACAGCTTCCACCCTTCTAGAAAAGCTGTCAACAGTCATCAAGACTGTCATGTTCCCTTGGCACCTTAGAAGTAAAATGTAATTCACCAGTAGCTGTTGAGAAGGAGGTGCAAGTGTCAGAGGATGTGGCAGTCTTTCTAGATTTGCCATATTCATTCATCTAGAAGCCGACAAAGGTTCTATACGGTTCGCATTGGAAGTATTGTATAAAATTGTATATATATATATATATATATATATATATACATACACGTATTCTGTGTCTTGTTTTGGCTAGAACTTTTAAACCATTTTAAGTCAATATTTTTAGACCCTTTTTAAAAGATTGTCTACAGAACAAACCACTGCTATACAATAACCTGCATAATTAACCTAATTAACCTAGTTTAGCCTTAAAATTGACTTTAAGCTGAACACTTGTATCTTGTAAAATATCTAGTAAAATATTATTTACTGTCATCATGGCAAATATAAAAGAAATTAAATAAGATATAAAAGTTCTTAGAAAGTTGTCATTAAAATTATTCTGTTTAGAAACAAGTAAAAAAATCTTCTCTTTGTTAACTATAAACTAGAAAATAAGCTTATATAAAATA